CAGAAATCTTCATACTCATCGCCCTGATGATGGAGGCAGTATGACCTCTGAAACGTTGGTAAACATCGGCCAGACTACACAGCGCAACAACCCAGAAGAGAGAAATCTTCATACTCATCGCCCTGATGATGGAGGCAGTATGACCTCTGAAACGTTGGTAAACATCGGCCAGACTACACAGCGCAACAACCCAGAAGAGAGAAATCTTCATACTCATCGCCCTGATGATGGAGGCAGTACGACCTCCGAAACGTTGGTTAACATCGACCAGACTACACAGCGCAACAACCCAGAAGACGGAAATCTTCATGTTCATCGCTGTGAAAACCTCAAATCTTAGATAATGAATGACTTACAGCAGGGCAGTGCTTGAATTCCTATGCTGGTATCTGATCACGTTTCGATGTCTCGTTTCAAGCTGTTAATTTACTTGTTTGCACTGGTAAGGAGTGCTGTAGGGTCCAATTTTAAAACGAAGTCTGTTCCATGTGGACCTACAGAATTGCATAACAGTTAGACCTGTACACAGCAGTTGGTAACCGGTTCAGATTCACACAGGAGGAAAATTATTCTCATTTACTTATGGTTCTAGGTGATTTTCTTCAGTCCCTTCAAACAAATACGATACAGTATCCTAAAATACGACATGACATCCATCTCTGCTCATCAACCAGTAATCCTGTCGTATCTCAGTCGACGTCACAAAATCTGAGAATCTCGTGTCAGAGAGACTTGACCAAAGTACTGACGATTATAACAGATAATTCCTACCTTGTATTGCTGCCGCTAAAAGAACCTCCCAATGTTTCTTCTATTCTACGCGTTCAATGTAAAAGAACTTTTCTGCTTTCACGTTTTAAAATAATTTATTTAAATGTCAGTCGAAGAAGAGAGAAACATTTCAAACAACACTTTACGTAAAAAAAAGAAAAACATTCAGAAGCAAACGACAGATCATCTCTACGGGAAGTTAGACGATCGATGGGAAACATAAAAGCTCTTAAAATATTTATGTAGATCGTCGCTTTCGTCTTTGTGGATTATTTATATGGAATTCAGGCTGACTAAGTTTAAGAATAAATTCATAATGTGGATCTACCCATGTAAGCGTCTCTCTCTACGTTTTCGTCTGAAATTGCTAGAAGTATTTCGATTACATTTGATAACATTTGATAACGAGAACTTAAATGTCGTTCACAAACTGTCAGATACTATCTGTACTTTATATAAAAACTCAGGTCTGACTTCATGATTTAAAAAAAATTATTTAATCTTACAAAGAAATGGAATCTGACATAAAGAATATATTTGTTTCTGTAATAAATAAATATTAATGTTGATAAGGAATTCAATATCGTAAGATAAGCATCTGGAAAACTTGAAGAATGCGTGTTTCTCGGACACGTTCAATGCCTTATAATGTGAAACAATACCACATGTATTTTTCGGATGAAATTAAACTGGAACAACATCGTTTATTTACATTTTAAATAAACGCTACTGATTTGAAAGCAAATAACAATAACGCAATTATCAAATCGAAATAACAACCTAATAACAGCCGTAAATATCTTGATTTAATGTTGAACCCATCATCTATTTATGGCTTAGCAGTGGGTTAACTCGGCGTTGTCAGAAAATGAATAACGCTAAAAATGTTTACAGACTAGTAAAGAAAAGTATAGAATTAAATGTATGTATAACTAAATATATAAACCATGACAATAAACTAACAGCTGAAATAATAACATTTTCTTAACAGAATATTAGACAGTGGACTGCTTAAAACTTTCATGTAAATTATCAGAGCACAAGAATAATAAATAGGAGATTCATCAGAGGAATAAAATAAGTAATTACTGGTTAATTTTCGGATAGAATATTTCTATCTGACTGCATTTCAAAACTATGATAAATGAATACACGTAATTTAACATAAATATCTTTATTTGACTTTTATGTTCCTAAAGAGTTGCCTCTTAACACTTAGGTGTTGTGTGTCTGAAAACGGGGTAGAGCTACTCAGGATAACATTCTGACCAAATACATACGAAATAACTGAGTAAATTGGGATACCACATAGCTAGATTTTCGTTATTTATTGTTGTGGTAGTGAAATCAATTTTATAATTGGCTGAACATTTAAATCAGTTGGGATAAATGCATATTAAATGTGAGGAAATATTTCAGGAAAATATAGTAGAACATATTAAATTATAGTTTTAGTCTGTGTCCTCTGTAATGCGACGAGTAGAGTACGATTTGATGTCCAGTATGAGGAAAGCGAGATAGGTTTTCTGGTCTTTATTTTTCATCGAAAGAAAAAAAATAGAACAACTTCTTCCTCAGATTTGCATCAAATAATGTGCCCTTGTTCTAGCGAAAATCTATACTTTTTTTGATCTGAAGAAGGTTTATTGAAAGAACAGTTTCATATAACCCATTGATAAGAAGATTAAATATACTGAAAAACAAGCCATGTTATGGTGAACTTCTTCAACACTGATTTAATACTAAAAGCTTTGGAATATGAAAAATACGAATACAGAATTCTATTGAATAAAAATTTTCTGGGATATTATCCATCGTCTAGTAAATATAAAACGTAAAAACGACGTTTCGGAGATGGGACTCTATCTCCGTCTTCAGGTTCCTACACAGTTGGGCCCACTAGATAGAGCTAATCCCTATCTCCGGAGATAGGGATTAGCTCTATCTAGTGGGCCCAACTGTGTAGGAACCTGAAGACGGAGATAGAGTCCCATCTCCGAAACGTCGTTTTTACGTTTTATATTTACTAGACGATGGATAATATGCAAGAAAATTTAGAGTCAATTGAATAAAAATTTTCATGGATATTATCCATCGTCAAGAAGTTTTAGATTTGATATACAGAACTCTATGTTGAAATATAATTTTATTTTATTTATTTATTATTATTTTTGTACTCCGTTTTCTCTAACGTACATCAACAATCCCAATTGCAATTACAATTCATCTGCAAACGAAACATCTTATAGAAATGGATCCAGATCTGTAAATGTCCCGAGGACTTGTTCATTAAAACTAAAATTTTACAGAATTTTGCAGAAGTCAGCCGGATAAGTCTGGATTTATTTAACAAGGAATGGATTCTAATTAACCATTCACTAGGCTGTAGCGATATCCCTTGAAATAGGCCACGATCTCCGCTTCTTAAAATCTTACAATAAATCGTACAGAATCATTCTTTGACCGCATTCAATTTTATACAATTTTTGTACCTGATTCAGCATTAATAAATAACGCGCGTTTTACTAAATTTCAGTGATATGAACTGTAAGGTAAAATCCTTAAAAGATATAAGATAAGCTAAGAAACATTGGGAAAATGCCATAGCGAGGAGCTTAATATTTTGTAAATTTTACCTAAAATTGTTTGTGTTATTAAATCAAGAAGGACGTAGGTGAGTCGAGTGATGGGCTTTTGTGATTACAGTAATGAACCTTCAAAAGAGAATATCTTGATTAACTGAGCTATTATGGACTTCTCGAGGACTCTGCTCTATGGTGGTATTTAGGAATGAAATCTGAAGATAGTTGTCATGCTATGAATGGTACAGAAAGCGGAGATAAAACTCCACGCATTCTTGAGATCTCGGCACGCGAAAGAAAGGAATTATCTGATTCACACCCAGGACGTCTAATCCTTTGAGGATTACGATGGGACGGACTGCGTTGTTTCTGGAGTCTTCTTGACGTAGTTGTGAAGAGAATGTCACGGAATGAATCGATACTCGGCCATGTCTTTGGCTAAATAGATTATTGTCTGAGCACACATTCGTCAACTGTTCTTTCAATTAAGAATTGTACTGAACCATAATGATGGTCTCTATTACCACAAAAATTGGTCATTAAACTATTCTGAGCCAGCTCGATTTATTTTGTATCCTCGTCACCTGTTTCGCTTCTCTTCATTTACAACGGAGCACGGTTTCTTTATCCCATTTTATCCATATTCTGATGTTTATTAAGAACAATAAATAAGCCACAGCTCGCATTTCTTTCTCATGTGGGCTTCGGGAAACTTCCATTCCTTTGTAAAAATTTCCATTGTCACCAGATGGGAACAGAGTGAACTATTACACAGCTTCTGCCATCTATCAGGAAAAATGTTAACTACATAGGGAGAATTTAAAGAAAGCCACAGCTCGCATGTGGGCTTCGGGAAACTTCCATTCCTTTGTAAAAATTTCCATTGTCACCAGATGGGAACAGAGTGAACTATTACACAGCTTCTGCCATCTATCAGGAGAAATGTTAACTACATAGGGAGAATTTAAAGACTAACGCTATGCGCGTAGTCCTTGGCTATTACCACAGAGTGGGAGTTCTCGACCTTTCTCGCTGGCGTATCACTAATTATAATTTAACACATTAAATGTACCACTAGCCAAATGCTTTCAGGGGAAAAAACTTATTTATGTTAATATTATCTTTCGATTTTCTTACTTAGTTCGCGTACCACTCAACATTGGCTCGCGTACCAAAAACTGTTTTACTAAGGAGAATATCTAGGAGAGGAGACAGAGAATATGTTCATATCTCGTAACGAGAATAACTACATGGAGGAGATTGATCAAGAAATTTCCAGCCTAATTATGTAATATATTTTATATACAAATCCAGTCGAAACCGTCAACGTATTAAAATTTACGTTCAACGTAATCCTTCCATTTATGTCTAGGTCTCCTAAGTGTTGTCTTCCCTTTATGGTTTCCCGATTGAGATTTTGTATTCATAATTTGCCCTACGTGTGCTGCATGTACTGCCCATCAAAGTTTCAGACACATACAAAACAGGCAAAATGATATATATATATATATTTATTTATTTATTTTTATATTTGTGTGTTTTGATAGCAGACAGGAATACAAATTATTGTGAGCCAAATGGTAGCGATCATTTAATGAATTTAATTTATTCTTATAAGGAACAGAAAAATGTATAGCAAACTACTAATTATTTATGAACCAATGAAGCTCCTGTTGGGTTTAATTTGTGAAAGCTACATTAGTTTTACAGGTCAGAGGTTTTAAATTTGTGGCTAAACTTGTGATTTAAATATGGATTTCTAACTAGGCCTTGTTTATGTTTGTCGCTATGATCTTTAATTTCACACAGTTCCAAACATAATTTCAGATCACAAAATTGCATTTACTTTGGAATTGCTTGGAGAGTGAACGAAGCGATGTAGCAGCCAATTTCAGAGTTATTGTGCACGAACTGGACTATGGCTTTATATTTACCATTTACTAAGGCCCCCCACCGTGTGCTAGGTGCTTGAATCCTCAAGTCACTAGGGATATTGTACAGCCCCTGAAAGAGAAACAAACAGATATCAGAAAAATTACCAGATTTGATCACCTAATTTTATTAACTAAATAATTGTTAAGCGAAGTTGCAAACCTTTTTGATAGGACAGCGACAAGGAACGTGATCTTGAACAAAGGATTCAGGACATGTCGTGTCTTCATCGTACCCGTAGATGCATAAATCTTCGTAGGTGCAGGATCCAAAGTCCTTGATGCAGGGCACTCTCACCCATACCCCCAGAACTTCACTCTTCATCGACACCTTTGCCTGTTTTATACAACAAATGTTTTGTTTGTTTATACGTACGTAAATAACACACATTCGGATACATTTAAAAATTGCCCTCTTTTCGTTTCGATTTTCAGTCCTGAAGATGGAGACAATGTTTTTGTCCGAAACGTTGGTATCTATTGTACCTATGAGTCCATATGTTATCATAACCCGAAAGTTCCCGCTGTCCAAGAGTTATTCCCACCAGTGAACTGTTTACACCATTATAAACTTATTTTATTTATTTATTTAGTGTTCTGTATGACGACAGGTCCATATGAACAGGATCCTTCCATCCTTTTCTCTTCTCGGACTGGGACCTGTTCATATACGTTCTTGGCAGATGATCCAGAAGTGGTTTGCCATTGCCTTCTTCTGTGTGTGAACGAAGTAATTGTTGGGATGCCACGGAGGAAAACTCCGGGTTGCTAGGTCATAAAAGCATGCCGACATTATACTACACTCCTCTGTTTCCAGAACTGCCCCACACAGCCTTCAGTTCGATGGATGCCAGAAGCTGTGAAAAAGTAGAATTGGCGTAAGACCGCTCATTTCCTTCCAGTGACAAAGAAAACGAGCATGAAATTTCTGAATAGAATGAAAATTGCTGGTGTGTCTCAGAGAAGGAGTGAGGGGATCTTACCGTTACGGGTGTAGAGAGGAAGGTCCTGACATGTACTTTCCCAGATACCACGATTTCTTCCTTCCATTTGTTAACAGAAACTTGGATGTCCTGAAGCTCAAAGTCGTCGTTGTCGATACCACATCTGTCCACATGCCAGTCCTCGACATGCAAATACTTCTTTGGGACAGCCAGATCAAGAATCTGAAACATATGCACGAGTAAAGATTCCTTTAGGGCAGCGTTTATCAACCTATGGCACCCGTACCACTGGTGGTACGCGAACTAAGTAAGAAAATCACAAGTTAATATTAACATAAATAAGAGTTTTCCCTGAACGCATTTCGTTAGTGGTACATTTAATGTGTTAAATTAGAATTAGTGGTACGCCAGCGAAAAACGTTGAGAACCCCTGCTTTAGGGCTTAGAAATACGATCATTATTTTTAATAATTTTTATATTCATCGAAATGTTTATGGTGAAATTAAAAATTCACAAAAAACTCGAACTTTTTCTATCTTATCGCTTGCTTTTCAAAAAACGTAAATATTTAAATAGTGACTACATAATATTATAAATCAGTTTTAGTTCATATGTGCCATGGCTCAAGCGGCTAGTTGTTGATTTCTTGCAGCGGAGATTCGGGTTCGATCCCGGGTGATTTTAAGTGGCATTCGTAGTGCAGGTTTGTCTCCGGGTTCATCCATTGCCCATTGCTAATCACCATTACACTATTTATCCGTACTAAATTATCACCACCCCATGAGGTGTCTGATACAGTACATTATCATACCCTTGATCGTTATGAAGTGAGGAGTTTCATCTCTGAATCTTCTCAATACTAGTTTGGGAGAAGATGTAGTTTAGTATTTTATGTAAGTGCGTAACTTGGTCACTCATTCTGGAAGAACAGCGAAGACTGAGGGTGTCTGAGAACAAAGTGCTGAGTGGACTATTTGTAAATAAGATAGATGACGCACTGAGATGTATTAGTGGACTATACTACGCAAATGGAGAAAGCAGGTAGCATTTTGGTATCTTAAAAGTCATTGATGTAGTTCAGAGAACGTTATTAAAATGTAAAATAATGTAACAGTGGATTGAATGTTGCCAGGTTAATTTACAACGCGGGATCAGAGGAAATAATTTGGATTTTTTTTTCACACAACGGGCTTAAAATTAATATCTGTCCGATCTTAAAACATTTATCGAATATTGATTGAATATTGAATACTGAGAACTTTTACTACATTTTAATTCTTGCTTGTGATAGTCCAATGTAAATCATTCTGTATTTAAATTAAAGTCTTTTGTTCCTAGAAACTGGCTCCTCGTACAAAATGTACCTGAATATATTTAAAATCTACAGATTACAATAGAAACACTTCTTATGATGAATATTTAACGAAATAACTGTAAAAATTCCTTTGATTATTAACACTTTAATTTGTTATCTGTAGTTCAGATGATTTTTACGGTAGTAGATATATTTTTAAATCAAATGAACATTTGGGCTAGCGTGCTATGCACATGCAAAGTAGCATTTCAAGTTCCACATGAAAGCAGAGCTTTTACCGCGACAAACATCCGTTTCTGCAACCGCTTCCTTCTTTTTGGAAATACAATTTGTTTTGTGGTTTTCCTCGGACAGATTTACGTGCTATCATTTTAAAATTGCTACTTTACTTTTCCGCCATTATTACCGTTGCAGTTGTCCTTGTGTCTTTGTTTCCAGATCTTGATTTCAACTTCCTCTCATTTATTATTATTAACCGACATAATGGTTATTATGTAATAGAAACTAAAGCCAGCCGCTGGACTAGAGTTTTAAATACTTTATTACAACTCGCAATCTTTTTTATACAATTAATGTTAAGATTATCTATACATTTATTTGGGGGGGAGGGGGTTGTTTGCTGGTAAACAGGCCCTGCTATTAACTGTTGTAATCTGAAGGCAAAAGGATCTTCTGCTAACATAATGGAGGCGGAAGATTTCTGTCTTCTGGGTTGTTGCGCTGTGTAGTTTCAGAGGTCATACTGCCTCCATCATCAGGGCGATGAGTATGAAGATTTCTGTCTTCTGGGTTGTTGCGCTGTGTAGTCTGGTCGATGTTAACCAACGTTTCAGAGGTCATACTGCCTCCATCATCAGGGCGATAAGTATGAAGATTTCTGTCTTCTGGATTGTTGCGCTGTGTAGTCTGGTCGAT